AAAATTAAGTCAATTCCCATCGCAAAACGATGTCAATTTTTTCTCCCGCTATGGAAAATTTGCGTTTAACATTTTCTTATTTAAATCGAGATCGGATGAAGAAATCGCATTGCGGTTTTTACGAAAATTAAGGGAATTTCCAACGGAAAACGCTGTCAATTCTTTCTCCCGCTATGGAAAGTTTGCGTTTAACATTTCCTTCTTTAAAGCAAGATCGAGTGCAAAAATAGCATCGCGGTTTTTACGAAAATTAAGGGAATTTCCATCGGAAAACGCTGTCAATTCTTTCTCCCGCTATGGAAAGTTTGCGTTTACATTTCCTTCTGTAAAGCAAGATCAAGTGCAAAAATCGCATTGCGGTTTTTACGAAAATTAAGTCAATTCCCATCGCAAAACGATGTCAATTTTTTCTCCTGCTTTGGAAAATTAGCGTTTAACATTTTCTTATTTAAATCGAGATCGGATAAGGAAATCGCATTGCGGTTTTTACGAAAATTAAGGGAATTTCCAACGGAAAACGCTGTCAATTCTTTCTCCCGCTATGGAAAGTTTGCATTTAACATTTCCTTCTTTAAAGCAAGATCGAGTGTAAAAATCGCATTGCGGTTTTTACGAAAATTAAGCCAATTCCCATCGCAAAACGATGTCAATTTTTTCTCCCGCTATGGAAAATTTGCGTTTAACATTTTCTTATTTAAATCGAGATCGAGTGCAAAAATCGCATTGCGGTTTTCACAAAAATTAAGTAAATTCCCATCGCAAAACGAGGTCAATTTTTTCTCCCGCTATGGAAAATTAGCGTTTAACATTTTCTTATTTAAATCGAGATCGGATAAGGAAATCGCATTGCGGTTTTTACGAAAATTAGGGAAATTCCCATCGAAAGACGCTGTCAATTCTTTCTCCCGCAATGGAAAGTTTGCGTTTAACATTTTCTTTACATCGAGACCGGATGGAAAAATCACATTGCGATATTCGCTAGAATTAAAGCATTCGATGGCACCGCGATGGGGTTTGCTTATTTTGCGATGGCAACTTGATACGTATAAGATTGCTATATTGATTAAGTCAAGAGCTGGTGATCAGATCGCAATTCGGTTTTCAAACATAAACAAAAAAGTGACACAAAAATTCTAGTTTCTTCTTGAAATCGAGAACGATGCAATCAATGCGTTTTTAAGAAAAATGTTGAAAATTTCAATCATTGAATTTTTCTTCCACTGGATCCGTTTAACATTTTCTCCTTTAAATCGCAAGATATCGCAAGATGTTTTTTGCAAAAATGTTGGAAATTACAACATCGCAGCGCTGGGATTTGTTTCTTCCACTATAGTAACTTGGTGCGTTTAACATTTTTTTCTTCAAATCATGAACGGATGAAGATATCGCAATGCGATTTTGCATAAATGTTGGCAATTTCAATCACGTATTGATGCGTTGTGTCTCTTCCACTAGAGTAACTTGCTGCGTTTAACCTTTTCGTCTTTAAATCGAGAGATTTCGCAATGCGTTTTTTTTGTAAAAATGTAGTAGTTTAATGCTTACTTTAAGGCACTTCCCATCGAGTTTGCGTTGAACATTCTTTGAACAAACAAATTTCTTGAAATCGAGATTGGATGCAAAAATCGCATTGCGGTTTTTACGAAAATTGAGTCAATTCCGATCGCGAAACGATGTCAATTTTTTGTTTCGCTATGGAAAATTTGGGTTTAACATTTTCCTATTTAAATCGAGATCGGATGAATAAATCGCATTGCGGTGTTCACAAAAATTAGGTCAAGAACTGATGATCAGACCGCAATGCGGTATTTGGATGAAAAAAGTTTCAATCAGTTTCTTCTTGAAATCGGGATCGATGCAATGCGGTTTTTGGAAAAATGTTGAAAATTTCAATCATATAGCGATTGAATTTGTCTTCCACTATGGTAACTGGATGAGTTTAACATTTTCTTCGTTAAATCGACTACGGACAAAATTATCGCGATGCGGTTTCCCAAGAACTAAGGCATACTCAATCGCATACCGATGAAAAATATTTCTCCTATTGAGTTAAAGTTAAGGGATAGATATCGCAACGCGGTATTTGCTAAAATTTAGGCAATCTCAATTTGCCCCAATTTGTTCTCCCGCTATGGAAAATTTGCGTTTAACATTTTCTTATTTAAATAGAGATCGGATGAAAAAATCGCATTGCGGTTTTTACGAAAAATAATTCTATTTCAATGGCAAAACGATGTAAATTTTTTCTCTCGCTATAGAAAGTTCGCGTCTAACATTTTCTTCTTTTAATCGAGATCTGTTAAAGAAGTCGCACTGCGGTATTCACGAAAATTCAGGCAATTCCCATCGTAAAGCGATGTCAGTTCTTATTCCCGTTATGGAAAGCTTGCGATCAAAATCTTCTTTAACTCAAGAACAAGATCCGATCGCAATGCGGTTTTTGCAAAAAAATGTCAATTTGAATCATGAAGCGAGTGCAGTTTGTCTTCCTCTATGGTAGCTTGATGCGTTCAACAGTTTCTCCTTTAAATCGAGAACGGATGAAGAAACCGCAAAGCGGTTTTTGGAAAAATTATGAAAATTTCAATCACATAGCGATCTAATTGGTCTTCCCCGATAGGGACATGATGCGTTTAACATTTTCGTCTATCAATCGAGAGTGGATACATTTATCGCAATACGGTTTTTTTCGTGTTAGGCAAAGCCTCCAAACCGGTCTCAATTGCACTCAAGTCCACGCCTCTTTGCCTTGACCAAACGTTTCCGCTGCGAATATCACAACCGTGTCGTCAGCATAGGACACGATAGATAACGAGGATAAATAATGAAAATTCTAGGGCACACCATCTTCTACATTTGCTTTTATTAATCTCGCATTTCACGTTTAGGTGTTTGGAGCCTACTGTTCATCGCGTTGGTGCGAGCGCAACCAAAAAGACGATCGGGGCAACCGACAGGCCTACTTTGGCACTGGAGAAACGTTCCTTTTCTCCCTCTATCCGGAAAGAGCGAAATACCCCTGGATTGGGGTGGAAGGCGATCGCAATGTGTCGCATGGCGCCGAACTCTTTATGGCGGCCGACAGCAAAATGATCACCATAGGAGGCGGGTGAGTAGCAGCGCCTATTCGAGCCTGGGAGGAGGAGAGAACCCAGGGGGTTGTTAGTAAATAAGTGCGGCACGTTTCAGGGGGTGATTCTGCATGAAAAAACAATGACAGTGTGCGTATGATCGTATTCTCAGTTCATAGTTTGTAGTCATATCGTCAATATCTCGGAAAGAACTCTGCGAGTCATAAGCAAACAGTCATTATTTTACTGAAATTCCTAACAACCTGTATGTAATATAGGGAGGGCCAGGCGATCTGGATGGACGAGAACATTCGCTATGGAAAAACCGATCACTGTGCCACATTCAACAATCCGCCTCTGTGCCCAAGCGGGGACTTTGAGATCCGGGTGTTGGAAGTTTACGGATTTGCCACCGACATGAATTAGCCAACACTTCGAACAACGAACAAAGCGCTTTAGGTAAGGTTCTTCTTTGGCCAGAATGGACGCATCCTCTCCCAGTGCATTCCTTTGACTCAAACCGATTAAAACAAAAAAGAAAGCCGAAGAGACGCGACTGAATGGCATGCGGCAAGTCGGTTAGTCTAGTTTGGGAACAGTATTATGGAATTGGTCTCACTCAAGCAATCAAACAACTGTCGAATTAGATTTACGTTATTTATTTATTTAGGATAAAGGGCTGTTGGTTGCCGCATGCCATTCAAATCAAAAAAATTGACTGTATTTAAAAAACGAACTTTTTAGCTGTTGCCTCCTAAGTGTCATGTGATTTCATTAAATGGTGTCTGGTTGAGGGGCTGCTCGATTGGACGTTTTGGCTAAATGTGCCAATAATCAAACATCTATCTATCTATCGATGTATCAATCCAACGAACATTCTCTCGACCTGTTTTTCTCTCTCCTAAGATTTCCAACTGACAAGTACGAGAATCTAGTCGTATTAGCTTTGTATTGTCTAGTTTTAAACCGTTTTACACTTAAAATTGTGTATATTTCGAAATGTAGTCGATGTAAATATTAGTTACATGTTTAAGGTAAAAGGGCAGTAACAAATCTGGCTTGGCTGCACTGTTCTTTTTTGCAGTGTACAAAAACCATCAATTTGCGTTATTTTACTTAAAAAAAAGTCAAAAAGAAACCTGCTGAGTAAATCTTGTGGGAATGATTCCAGATTCTGTCTAGAAAAATGTCCAGGATACGAAGCTAAACAAGTCCTATATAAAACACATATACGTTTCCTTTTTAAAGTATTCTTTATGCTGTTAAGTTTTAAAAATTTTATTACCCGTATTACCTTAATTTTAAGTGAATGGTTGTGGATGGACTCTGTAAAACTGTAAAATTTTAGTTGGAAATTAAGCCACGCGGGTTTCAAGTCAATCAAAGCCCAAACAAACCCATTAATACTGGTTTATGTTAATCGAGCTTTATTCGCCTGAGAATGTTCTGTAAATGTAAAGACGACATCACCGTAGTGAAAAATATACATACATAAGTAGACTGTTATAGTATTTTTTGTTTATATATGTAACAAAGGCTTCTAGCTGTAATATTTTATTGTTTTTGTTGTTGTACGTAGAATAAAAGTATTATAAACTGAACAGTTGATTCATTCGCACATCTACCTAAAAAATAATTGAGGATTTCAGTGGTGCTTGCATTTGTTGCATCTCGCTGCCAAGCTACAGGGTGTTAATGATGGTTTTCTTAAAAGAACTTAGAACCTGTTGTGAATTAGTGTACGAAATTTAGCCCCATTTGAATAGTGAGTGAGAAATACGGACGAAAATTTCATGAAAAAATCATAACTCCTAAACTGTAGGCAATGGAATTTCGACTTTTTGAACGCTTATAGAAGCTTGTGTGGATCAGGGTATGGAATTTCATTTGACTCGATTCTCTCTTAATTTTTTTAGGAAAACTGTAACTTTCAGTATGTAAAAAAATTGACCCAAAAGTGCATGTCCGTACTTAAATAATCACAACTCCTAAACTGGATTCGTTGGAATTTTAATCTTT